GGCTAGCCAAGGCCAAGAGCCCAGTAACGAACTAACTGCTCGGACACTACTTATACCACGTATAAACATGTTAGGGTTAACACTACATCTATTTTCACCGAAAGTGCTGGCAAACTGCTTAAACATGCACATGTCACTTCACAACATTTATATACATACATAAATGATTGTCTACGCCCTCGCGCATTTAACTCTCCTCTCAAGCTGTTATATACAGGTTACTCTCTGAGCAGATCATTGTGCTTGGCCCTCACCGTCTGTCTCACCGAACAGGTCGACATCGCCGGCCAGCCTCCTCGCCACGTCCTCCACCTCATTTTCCAGCTGCTGCTATTTCGTCATGCCCGTCCCTCTGGTGAATCCGGCCCCTATCGCTCGAAGATCTATGGAGGGGTAGTGGGACCGGACCACCGCCAGGGCATGGGTCATGGAGAAGACAGTGGCGTCATGGTTGAAGCTTTTGAAGTTCTCCCATGCCACCTTGCACCTATCGATGATGTTGTCCGGACGTGGTGGCCTGTCGTCGGGCTGAGGAGCCACCTCCATGTCGACATAGTCGAGCACCAGCTTGACTCCAGCAACTACGGCATCGAGCTTAGTCCTCTAGGTTCTGGCCACCTGCTCCAGCACATCGAACTGCGCCTTGGCCCTCCGATGGTAGTCTGCAGGCATCACAAGGATCCGTCAAACAAAGAAATCACTCTAGCAACAACTCTGACCATGAACTACTCACCTTTCAGCTCCTCGGCCAGCTTCTCCGCTCGCCCTGACGCCTTCTCCTTCTCCTCTTGGAGTTGCCTGGCTGCTTGGCGCAGCTGGCCGAGCTCCGCATCTTGCTCTACAAACAAAACGGCCAATATCAATGTCAAGACTGTTCGGTAATGCAGAACAACTTCAACAATCCGTGGTACCTATCTTCTGCTCGGAGGTGGGCCCCAGCTACTTAGCAGTGTGTTGGATTCGGCAAGATCTCATTTGCGCTGGGTCCTCTGGATGTTCTTCTCCATCAGCTTCACCGCCTCCTTCAGCTTCGCGTTCTCCTCGGTGAGGGCCACCATCCGCTTGATCAGCTGCTACCGCTGTGCGGTAGTTCATGCTATCCCCTGCAGAGCACCAAGATTATACAAGACCCTACTCTCCAACACCAAAGATGGACATCGCCAACACGATACTAAACTCAATTTGCTTCATAACCGTGGAAACGGAGGACCACAACCTTTTCAACTCACTGCTGGTCTCCTCCTCTTCTACGACCACCACCTCATCCCCTCGCTTGCGGAGGACCCAAACAGCTTGAGGTCGTGATTCTTCATGCTCAATCTCCTCGACCTCGTCCTCGTCCTCCGTAGCTAGTGGTGCTCCTTTGGGGCTCGGTGGCCACATCGAGCATCTGACCACGCCCTGTGTCGTCTTAGGGCGCGCCGCTTGCTCCTCCGACGCTGCCTGCCTCTACGCCCCAGACTCCGGCACGACATCGGCAGCTCCAGCTCCCACCTCTGAAGATTCGGTAGCGCCCGCTATTGTTCCTGGCGTCTCCGTCGCATCGGCCGCCATCGTCGCCAACCGTTCTCCGCAGCCAACTCCAATAGCAACGGCGGTCAACTCCTCCGCAGACCATCGAGCGCCTAGGGACTCTAGGACGGAGTCCATTAGCATGGTCTCTGCACCGGGGACAGCCCTCAGCTGCTCGCCGGTCTGGACGGATGGATCCAGATCATCCATGCGCCTCATTCTGCATCGGAATAGCTAATCAATCACCGCAACTATAAAGATCGAACAACAAATGATTCCAAGGCAAGGATACTTGCACGTCGGCTTCCCGGTAGACCTTTCTGAACCGGCGTTGCCTCCCCGAGCATCCAGGCATGGCTCCGGGGTCAACCCACGTGCCCTAGGTAGGAGGTCTTGCAGCCACCGTTGTCGGCCTCTCCTCCGCCTGCTGCTCGGGGACTCCCTCCCCTCCCTTCGACCGCACCTCTACGCGCATGCTGCATGGTTGCTCCTCTATGCTTGGAGGAGGAGCTACTGGAGCCCCATCATCATTCGACCTCTCGTACACCGCCACACTCTATGTCCAAGTGGTCTGATCGCCGCCAAGTGAGATGCCGCCCGGCTTGCGGGGAGCTACACCCGCCATTTTTCTCTTATTGTGGGCTGGCTCATCTCTTGCCGCCCTCTTCCCCCGGACCTTCTCTGACACCTAGGGGGGACTCTCCTTCCGACCAGCACCTGCACCTTTGGATTCGGACGATGTGCTGACGGCGCTTTCCTCCGACTGAGTGGTCAGCCTAGCATCTACCACCTTTGGCCAGTCACTCCTTGGCACGCCCAAGAAGTACGCTGCCCGCTCCTGCAAATGGATCATTCAATCAGTGAATCAATTTACTGCTCGGTGCCGACACAGGATAAAAATGCTAGGACCAGCAGTCAGGATCTCTACCTAAGGAGGTGGGTTCGTGCAATCGAAGGTTCGTGGCTGCCCTGGCATGTTGAACAGCGTGTTTGGAGCAAATAGCTCTACGGCCCGCTCTAGCACAGCCTCCCTTGTCAGCCTCTCCGTCCTCTCCCGAGTGTCGTTGGTGTCCCCCTTGAAGTCAAAGCCCACGTGGGCCCTCTCCTTGCATGCCTGGGTATGGCGCACTATGAAGCTCACCGCCACTAGTACGCCATTCATCTTTATGCCCTTTAACATGCTGAGGAGCTCCCTCACCTGATTCATATCAACACTGCTCGGCTTCTCTGACCAGCTCATCTGGTTCTCCAGAATGTGGTCGACATCGTAGCGGATGGCAGGATGACTCTGCTTCATGTAGAACCACCTGGCATTCCACCCCTTTAGGGAGGTGTTTAGCGGTACAACGATGTACTCGCTCGCCATCCCATCGCGGAGTTGAAGATACACGCTGCCGACCACTCTAGAACCGCCACCGCCCTTCTTCTTTAGCCAGAACAGGTGTCGGAAGAGGTTGAAGTGGCGAAGAATTCTGAGATATGCCTCATAGAAATGGATAAAAATGGAGATGTGCAAGATGGTGTTGGGATGCAAATTGCACAGACTCACTCCCTAGAACTCCAATAGATCTAGCAAGAAAGGAAGAACAGGAAATCCTAATCCGCGCCAGAAATAATCTTCAAATACTACGACCTTGTCGGTATACGGCATCCGGTAGGGCTCACCGTTGGTCGGACGCCATCCGGCGATGACACGGTCAGGAAGAATGCCCACCTCCACCATCCTGTTGAGTTCCGTCTCTCCCATGAGTGACAGCACCCATTCATTGTCACGGCTTGCTCCAGCGGTCGCCTTATTCGGGTTACCAACTCCCCTCTTCGACGCCATCTCTCAGATTTGGATTCGGACTGGCGGCGGAAGCGCATGTGGATGTGAATCAAAAAGTGCGAGGGCTGAGGAGGAAGACGAAGTGGCGAAGTGGCAAAGGTGGGAGCGCAGAGTGCAGCGGCGCAGTTATAAAGCACTCTCCCTACTTTTTGCATTCAAGGGTTTTTGGGAAACCGCTCCATGATTTGCGCCTCTCCGAATTCTCCAAAGTGGCGTGGTGGGCTGTTACCTAGGCTTCCGCGCAACGACAACCCATATCGCCCACTTTTCACTGCAACTTGTTACTGCACACCGAATATTCGCCGACTTCTCTGCAATACCATTAAGGCTCTGTAACTCCTACTGTACAGCCATTACTCCATATTTTTTCTCCACAGTTTGATTTCTCCAAGATTTCCACTTGTGGCTCGGGGACTACGTCATCACTACGACTTGGTTTCTCACCACACTGGGGACTTTCTTCTGGTTACTTTTGTTTCTGACCCTAGCACCACGTGACCACGTCACCTACTGTCAGGCTCAGGGACTAAGTGGGCACACTTCACCTCGCGGTTAATGTGCTTTTCTCATTTCAGGGCTCCGCTCAGGGACTGACTGCCTGCTAGACTGGTCTTCTATTTTTCTTCTACTTTGGACCCTGGCACCACGTGACTGCGTCATCTACTGTCAGGCTCGGGGACTAAGTGGGCACACTTCACCTTGCGGTGAGTGTGTTTGCTTTAATCTGGAAGACTCCGCGCCTTCTGAAGTTGAAGAACACTATAACACAGCATACTTTTACCGACACTTTCTATTGTAGGCAAAGGACACCTTTGCTGACAGATAACCTCCCGCGAAAAGTTTTGTCGTCAGTCTAAAAACAGTCGCACTAGAAGCCGTCGGTGAAACTTTTGCCGACAGTTAATAGAATTCCCGACACTTTATGTGTAGGCAAACGGTCACCTACGTCGACAGTTGAAACCTTTGCCGACAGTTAACCCTTTGTCGATAGTTAAGACCTACGCCGACAGTTAAGACCTTTGCCGACAGTTTATATGTTGGCCAAACCATTTCCAAGGTATTTTACAAACCATACCCTACCCAAAAAAAACTGTCGGCAAAACTGCATAGATATAATTACAATTAAAATAATTTGATAAATCCACCTTTGCTCATATAGAAGCCATCACATTGAACAAATTCACTTGATTTTTGTATAAATAATATATTAGATCTTCTGTACATACACCAACTTGATATATATATATATGTGTGTGTAGGGTAAGGCTATTCTGCAGCTAGCCATAGAATAACTTATTCTATAGCCACCTTGATTTACGATAATATTTGTACCAATTTACGATAACATAAATATGCATTTACGATACTCATGTTACTGCAACTCATGGTGATATTTACGATAATGTTATAGTAAATCACTTAGTAAGGAGTTACTGTAATCTCGTAAATTAGCATGGTAATTATCGTAACTCAAAGTAGCCACAGAATAAGTTATTCTATGGCCAGCCACAAAACAGTAGTTCTATATATATATATATATATATATATATATAGTGATGATCATAGTACATAGAGCCATATAGGTCCAAGATATAGATTAGTCAGTTACAGACATGTATAGACATAGTACAAGTCTTGTATTAATTGGTTATGACTAAAGCTAAGAGATCAATAGATCAGAACTTGGGCACAAAAGCGGCATGTCTGACAGTGCATCGTAGCTCATTTCAGGGACAGACTCCAGTTGTGCTTCGATTATTGTGACAGGAGGGCCAACTGTACCAATCATTGAGAAAACATTGGCGATTGATGTGAAGCATCCTGCACAACTCTCAGTGAGCCCTGCATATCAATATGATAAGTCAGACCACGTGGTTTGCAGGACCAGAATGTAAGTAGACTACTAGAGTTCTGTTAAGTAGTTTAAGAAACCCAACTAATTTCAGCAGATGAACTATTGGTGTGCACTTTTATCCATAAAACTGAAGTGAGACATGGTAAGATGCGTCTGAAGCTCTTACCATATCCTTGTACTACAATGCTGCAGCTGGTTACTCGCATGAACTCTTCGATTTGCCCTGGCAAAGGTGCTGCTCCTGCTATCATGAGGCGTATACGCCCTCCAAGCCCTTCCTTTATCTGTACCGACAATAATATAAATGTTCAGAGCTTTGTAAAAAAGAAAATATATAAAGAGATCCAACACTGTACACACTTTGCTGAAAACTATCTTGTCGAAAAATGGTGATGCTTCATGCTGCTTCAGCCCTTTCCTCATATTGGCAAGTTTGCTGTTGGCAAATGGACAATTATTTTATTATATTTGAAATGTAAACATGCATGTAATTATGCTTCTTTGCTTATTCAATCTTGTAGTACTACTTACTAGTTGTAGGCATACTGAAAAAGGTGTTTGGCTATCATCCCTCCAGACTGAATTTTCATGTTTATACCTTCAATTAATGAGATCCACACATTATGATCGTACAAATATCTTCCTTACATTTATTAGGAAGTTTGTAGTCTTGTTTTCCCTATTTAGAACATTCCGACATTGTCATGGACTCATGGTATTCATAATGAACTAGTAGTCATTTAGGCACCCAAGAGCTGTAACAAGAAATCAGACTAACCATTGAAGAAAATTCTTCCCAAGAAAAGCAAGACACACCAAATTTCTCAGCTTCAGTTTTCATCTCACTTGTAAAATCTCTGAAACTAACAATGGCTGAAGATGCACCAAGTCATAAATGATCATATAAAGCAGCAGATAGTGGTCTACAGTTGCAGCCTGGGAAAACTTTGGCAACCTCCAGCAAGCCCTTCAAACTCAGGCGGACACCTTAATTGAATGGTGGGAATCGACATTGACCTCAGTCCAGAAAGAGAGGAGACGGGAGTTCAATGGAATGGCTATTCATATCATGTGGAATTTATGGAAGGAACGTAATCGCCGAATTTTTTACAATAATTCCTCCACAGCCCTCCAGGTGACCGGGCGAGCCAAAGATGATCTAGTGCAATATAGAAGAGCTTTCACAACACCTAGTCATTAGACTCTACTGCCAGCCTAAGGCTCCCCTGTGTACAGTTTGCCTCCACAGTTTGGTTGTGTGTTTGCTTGCCCCTTTTGGCCCTAGTGCCACTCTGTACATATAACTCCTCTTTATCCCCTTAATGAATGGCAGAGCTCTTGCCCTTACTTCAAAAAAAAAGCAGCAGATAGTCATCTTAATAAGAAATTTTGTGTTCCGGAAGCTAACCTCTAAGATGGGCTGTGCACTTAGGGACTACTGCTAGTATCTGAAAAATACAATTCAACGAGTTGTCAGATGTAAACAGAATGTTATGTGTAGCATTGATCTCCAAAACTAATTTCAAATAAACAGCATTGATTTTAGCAGGTTCAGGCCCAGTTCTGTTGTAACTTGGATCCCAAGCACATGTAGCTTTTACTGGAAACTTATTAATCAGTATGATGCAGATACCACAGTGCAGAGCGTAATAATATTATTCAAAGGGGGCAAATGTTTTTGCTTACAGATTTGATCTTGCTCTCCTGGACCAATGCAATGGATATCTACACTAAAGAATGAGACAATAGGATTTGATAACTACAGAATGAAGGACAAAATAAGCACACTATTGTGAGTTACTCATTAATTGTAAATTTTTCCAATATTTTTTCTAGTCTAAGATAAGATTGTTCATAAACACATGTTAACCATGTGCACAAATCTGAGTATTCAGTGCACTCAGACATTCAGGCATTTATGTGTTTCAGTCAGTGTGATGAAGTGGAGAACCTACCCAGGGTGTCATACAGTGGCACATAACATATTCCTTGACTGTTGCATGCCTGAAGAAAAAAAAGTTTGGATCAGATTACACTAAAGAAGAATTCTGATAAAAATTGAATAAAATACAATGAGGTCACCTGCATGGCCATAACCCATTCCGGGCAGTTGGATCCATATATGCCACAGTGAGCTCCCTGCATATATGACTTGACGAATCAGTTCTCAAAATACTGGCATGCATTTTCACTTTTTCAGGATGAAGATGAAATCTCAACATAGACAGCGACATCAATCAAGACATTCTTCGCTCACCGGCTCTACGCCGAAGCTTCTGATGGCTGATCCAATCCTCATGACCTTCTGGTACACTTCCTCGTACGTTTGCCACACATACTCACCGGCCTATATATAAGAAAGACAATTCAGTTGAATATCCGAAAGCCATGGCGATATCTTTGTGAAAATAAATCTGCAAAGATTCAGTTTTATTTTACCTTGCCATCTGTAACTTGCCGTCGGCCGAGCATCCTGTTCGTGGGGTACTTCTTGACTGCTCCACTACGAAATCACAAAACCAAATACAATCAAAGCCACACTGATAAAAAGCTTGGTTAACAACCAGATAGTGGAACATTATAGATTCAGAACAGTACCAAGTTTTGAAAATGTTCAGCATAACAAATGCTGTATCCAAAGAAAAAGGGTACAGGTACAGTAGTAGGTACAGAAACCTATTACTACTGGATGAAACAAATATAATCATATAATCAAAGGCTTATACAAAATCGATAATGTGTTCAAATACTTATGTTTGACACTGCCTAGGGCATAAATGCATTAAACGAAATGAAACTCTTAGAACTGTGTACTGGTATTTGTTGTTATTTGAAAATGTAGATGTTGGGCTTGAATTTTACCAGCTCCTCCAATTTACCACTATAAATGAGGATCCCACTAAGTCCTCAACAGATTACTGTTAATCGGTTCAGGACATGAGACTCAGACGAAATAGACTACAATGAATTTCAAATAACAAAAATGAATTAATGATCAAATCAGGAACTAATTCATATTGAAAGCAAATGTGAGTTTAAACATTGTGCTGGGGATGACAGCTTACAAACCCAATGGCACAACATTGCGATTCTTGACTTCACAAACTAGCGAGCAGAGATAATTGTGCTACATTATTACAAAGGTATTTGTCCCAACTTTGAGGCCATGGCATGTAAAATTAAAATTCAGAATAATGGGATAGATACCAACTAACAGATGGCTATACAAGACCGAATGGCGCATCTGAAAGCGAGATAATGGCCTCAATATAGTAACATTCACACAAATGCAGAGCATCCAAGAGACTTGGTATTTACTACCATATAATCTGATTTGGATAATAAGATTCATCGAAACATTTAATGGAGCGGTGACAAAGCGAGATAATGACCTGGGGAGCAGTCATGGAATAGAGGAGTAGAGGTGAGGTCTCACAGATCCGCCCCTAACGGAGAGGAAGAGGCGGCGCCACAGGCGGGGCAAGGTGCCAAGCGGAGCCGCATGAGCGAAGGCAGATGAAGAAGGCGACCACACGCAGGCCGATGGGTCATCCGGCGTCGCCCGTCTCTTGGGCAAGGCGACTTCAGTGAGCGAGCACCGTCGAGATGGGGCTGGGGGCGCGACAGGTGGCCCATGGTAAGCGGCTTGGGGCGACAGCGTGCCTCCTGCGGGGAGGCAAGCGAGGTCGGCGAGGCGCCACACGCAGCTGCGTCTTGGCTGCAGACGGGAGGGGGGAAAGCATGGCCCCTGGCTGGAGCCGCCGCTCCGTTGCACGCCAGCCGCGGGGGAGGGGGGCACCGTCGCCCACGACCCGTGTTGGGCCCGCCCGCGTGAAAACCGTTGAGGACCGGGAGGCCGGATCTATGCGCCCCTCCCTAGAGATGCAGCTGTAGTTGGCGGATCCATGCGCCCCTCCTCAGTGGCGGCCACGAATGCAGCTTTCTTCACCAGTGTAGAAGGGGTTGGCGTGGGGGCAGCCGGTAGGGGCTGGCGTGGTTAGGGTTCCGGCGGGTGGCGGTGCTGTGCAGGACGGCGACGGCGGGAGATGGCGTGGGAGGCAGAGGTGGCGTGCACTGGCATGGGAGGCGGCGGCCACGGGCGCTGGCGCTGGCGTGGGAGGCGGCGGCACGCGAGGGGCAGCAGAGACAGAGCAAGGTTGGATTGGGTTTCCCTTTGCGTGGGCTACAGACTCCGTCCCAAAGGGCTATGACTCCGCGCGTGCATACGGTGAAAAGATCTAAAACCGGAATCTGGGCAAGACCGTATATCCTTTCGCCGACACTTAGATAGTTGGCTTGTTTAGGAAACGCCGACACTTATTCTGTCTAAACATTTGCCGACAGTTTCATTGTCTAAGAGAAATGCCGACAGTTAACCTGTAGCCATACAACATCATTGCCGACAGTTTACGTGACTTTAAAAAGGTTGTACAATTAACAACATATAGTGTGTTGTCAAAACCAATCATTTGCCAATAGATAAGTGTAGGCAAATGTGTGTCGTGGTGTAGTGGAAGACTATCTCCTTTTCTTGTGGTCGGACTCTAAGTGGGCACACTTGGTCCACTGCGAGGAAATTTTTGATTTTGAGCTTGAGCTCCTTACATCCTTATGGCAAGCCTTACTTGGGACACACTGCTTGGCGACGGTTCACAACTGCTCGGTGACTCAGTATGGTGGTCGGACTATGAGTCTGACTACTCGGCTTTGTTCACACCTGCTTAGACAAGCTCAACACGGCATTGCACAGTGGATACAAGGTGCTCGGGGACTAGATGTGGGGGGTACGACCCCGAATACCCACGGCAGACTACATGGGCTGTGCTCCCAGGGGCGGTCCAGCCCACAAGATGAAGCCTTGCAGAGCGCGGCGCTGCTCGGCGCGCCCCATAAGACACCGGGAAGATATCCTGAAGATACTACGAGATCTGTTAGGATACGTCCGATCCCAGAATTCATGTAATCTGTTATTACTTTTCGGTTGTCTCCAAGATCTAACCGACTTGTAACCCTACCCTCCATACTATATAAGGCGGGCAGGGACCCCCTTAAAACACACGTAATATCATACAATCAAACAGACTACAGGAGTAGGGTATTACGTCGTGCTGACGATCCGAACCTGTCTAACTCTTATGTCTCTGTTGCCTTCTTATTCTCGATTACACGCATCTCTGCCAATAAATCTACCTTCGTGGGATACCCCCGTGACAAATCATCTATTTATAATATATACATTATCGACCGTTTCACGTATGTGTGTTGTGTAACTTCAAGCATAATCCTTTCTACTCCTAGGGAGTAGCTACTCCCATCTAGATGTAATATATATATATATATATATATATATATATATATATATATATATATATGCTATTTAGAACAAAAAAATTCCAAATTTAGTTAAAAAAATTAAAAATTGATTCTAGAGGTGGCTAATAAAAAATAGAGCCACCTATGGAGATCCACTTCTAAAGGACGTTAGTATTCCAAGCTGCCTCTAGTAAATTGATTTATAGAGACAACTAAGAATCTCAACCGTCTCTAGAAATCGATTTCTAGTTTAGGAACGGCTAAGAAATAGATGATTTTTAGAGATAGATAGGTAGGAGAGGCGGCGGAGCAGTTAGCCACCTCTATAAATCATTTATGCAGTAGTGGATGCTACATCCGGCCATGCACACGACCTGGAGGTCGTTTCTCAGTATTGATTAGAGATGCTACGTTCTGTATTGTCTATATATATAGGCCTCCCCATTTGTTATCTCAAACGAGGCCGCCAACTCCCCAACCAAGCAGCTGTTGCAGAAATGATCTCAGCATAGACAATGCTGAATCTCCGTTTGCCAACCCAATGCCTCCTCTTGGTGCTCTTCTCCTATGTTCCAGCGATAGTTTCAGGTCCCCCGCGGTTCACCCAGTACCACCACAAAAGAGAAGCCAAAATTCTGTCATTTATGTGTGCTTCTCTTTTGTGGTTGTACTGGGTGAGCCGCGGACCACCCTGCGCTCAGCCCACGCAAAGGCCCATAGCGATCTCGTCATTCGCGTCCTGAACTGCAGAACATGAACATCGAAGGTCTGTCTGTCTATATCCATCCAAGCGTCCCGCGGCCTTTCACAAATTCGCGTAGCGCGACCCCCGACAGGTATACGTATTCGGTATTTCTCAATGCGTCTGCCTGCGCCCCTTCGTATCCCAACTATCCCTCCCAGTGCCGTCCTGGCGTGCTTCGTAATAAGAACGACGGTGGCGGCGGCAGCGGCGAGCCGGCGGCAGGTGCCGAGCGACGAGCAGCAGCACATGTGAGTCCTCAGATACGTCTCTCAAAATCTTCATCCAATTAGCCTCCTCGTTTAGTCGTGTACTCACGTTTCCAATTAGCCCTAACTAATACAGGTGTCTCCCAAAATCTTCATCCAATTTTGCACTCTGATCAGTAACTAATAAATAGGAGCTACGAACAGAATGCATCGGCTCACTAGTAGAGAACAGATCTTTTATCCGAGGTCAAAATGGGCTCTAGTCCCGGCATTTTTTACGCCCGGGACTAGAGAGACCTTTAGTCACGGTTGATGTCTCCAACCGGGACTAAAGGTCCCTACCCAACGGCTACTGCGCTCGGCACAGTGGCAGGGGACCTTTAGTCCCGGTTGGAGACACCAACCGGAACTAAAGGTGGACCTTTACTCCCGGTTGGAGCCACCAACCAGGACTAAAAGTCCTCCAACCTTTAGTCCCGGTTGGTATCACCAACCGGGACTAAAGGGTGACCTTTTAGTCTGGGTTGATATTACGAACCGGGACTAAAGGTCTCTCACTCGGGACTAAAGGTCCCTCACGGGTCAATTTAAAAGTAGGAGCGGGGAGGACTATGTCACATGTGGTGTGCAGTTGAGTTGGTAAGTAATCTACGCGTGATGAGAGAGGTCTTGTGTTTGAATCCCACACAGCGCAAGCGAGGTCTCAAGGAATTCGTTTATTTTTTTAACTGAGGAGGGGGCTTTACTCCCGGTTATTGACCCGGGACTAAAGGGTCCCTTTAGTCCCGGATTCTTACTCCCGGTTGGGAAACCGGGATTAAAAGGGGATCCCAACCGGGAGTAGAAGCCTTCTCTCCATCAGTGGCTATTGCAGATTTTTTTCTGTACCATTAGATTATTGGAATGGTAAACATTATTTTATTCTATTGTAGATTTGTTAAAATATGAAGAGGAGTTGTGATATTGCCTCTCTTGTTGACCTCTCAGTAAAACGGTAGATTTCTTACAATCGAGTGAAGAAGAGATAATCAACACTTTCATGGCTACTAGGAGGCTACGAAGTAGTGTCATATTTTTCATCAACTATTTTGGATATGTAATCTTTCAATTCTACATTAAGCAAGCG